ACAGGGCAGGAAAGGTGCCATTTGCCACCCTTCCGCCAGGCCCCGCAATGGGCACAGGGCAGGGAAAGGGAGCAGAGCTGGTTTCGGGCTCCCGCACCCCAGGGCTAACTGGGGAACGATGGGGGGAGAAGGAGCCTGCTGAGAGAAGCCTCCAGCACGACCCGGAGCTCTCTCCCCAGGCCCCCGTGGAAACATGAGCCTGTCCCGTGACCTGCTGAGGCAGCCCTCGGCCTCCCAGCCACGGTTCTGGAGCGGGGCTGAGAGATCCGGGTGTGGGGCCGGCGCACGCCGTGCCCTGCTGGGATGGGAGCCGGCCTCTGCTGCAGACACAGGAAGGAATCCAGCTGAGCTGCCTCGGTGTCTGCAGGCCTGGGGGCGGCAGATTAGCAGAGGGATGATGTCAGGCCAAGCTGTGACTTTCCACCACACCTGTGCCGGAGAGAGGAAGGGTCCCCCAGTCCCGCACAGCCTCCTGGGCTGCGGCTCTGCCGTTCAGGGTTCTATTCCAGCAGCCAGGAAGCTGTCCCTGGTGCGCGAAATCCCTCCCCCGGCTGCTTCCCTCCCCTCCCCAAAGCGGTCTCCCCCTGCATCGGCTCCCAGAGAAGGCGCCGGGGCACAGCAGGTTCCAGGTGGGTGCAAGGGGACCTCCGGCCCGTCTGCTCCGAGGGAGTCTAGCCAAGGCCTGGGGCTGAGCCATTTCTCACGGCGCCCTGGCAGGCCGGGCCGGGGCGGGTTTGCGAACAGACCCGGAGCAAGAGCCACAGAGCCGGGGCTATAGCCGTGTAAAGGTCCAGCACACGGCTTCCCGCTGCCCGTGCAACAGTCCAGCCTCCCCAGGCGGCCCGCTCCCAGGGCCCCAGCCGAGGGGGAGCCAGGCTACCCTGTGGTAGGGGCTCTAGTCTCTGCTGGGGCTCAGGCTGCCAGCGTGGCCTGGGGCCCTGATTCCCGGGGCTGACTGAGCCAGGCACCGCGATCGCAGAGCTGCCCCCTCTCCGGGGATGGGGGGGTCTTTGCCCCTCGAGGCAGGGACCCTGTCCCCTTCCCTGTTCAGACACCCCCGTGTGTCCAGAGGGAGGGGAGGCCAGGCCAGCGCCGAGGGGCTGAGACCCCGCACAGCCACCCTCTGACCGCCTGCCTGGACCAGCCTGTGGGGGGA